CAATACACAAGTCAGTTAATACCATCTTGTATTTGTATCATACATTGTGTAACGGGGCTGACAAGACGTGAGACGTGCGGATCCATATGCAAGCTTTTTATTAGGAGAAGACAGAGATGTGGTCATAAAACAGGCATGGGTAAGATAATGGCAGACAGGTATATGGCGGGCAAAACACAAGAATAGTCCTAGGGCTAGCGTGGGTCGACGATCGGCAGACAGAATCACAGGGGCGAGACTAGAGGGATAAATCCAGGGAAAACAGGCAAAGATCTGAAACCGTGAAAACAGGCAAGGCAAGGCAAAACAAGGAAAACACAGAGACTAGGAACGGGGTATGGGCTAAACAATACTCGGCAGAGGGAAGGGATCAGAGTGAGTGTTAAATAGTGAGGGAGTGATATGAAACAGCTGGGTGCAATCAGTGTTGTGTGCAATTAGTGAACCAGCTGTGTGCAATCAGTGCTGTGAATGATGGGATATGTAGTCCGGGATGATATGCAACAGTGTGAGTGCGAGAGTCAATGAAAATGGGAAGGGTGACCTCTGATGGTTAGCCGACGGAAGTTCATGGACCGGATTCGTGACACATTTCTGTGAGTTCTTGAAAATGACTTCAACAGATTGCAAAAGCACATCTTTACTGCACAAATGCTCCCCCATATGTTTCCTTTCAAAGAATGATTATGTTATGTAAGAGATAATGTACATCCAGCTGGTAGCGTCTGGGTCCTGATCACCATGTCGGGGGTTATTCTGCGATAACAACCGGCTGGATGTACATTATCCCGCTTAGTACACGGCTACTTGCCACATAAGTAAATAATTAGACACGAAATATTGATTTGAGTTGAAATATTTAAGTGCAAAGCTTCTGTGAACACAGCAGTTGCGAGCAAGCAGCAAATTCAAACTAGACGGACATTTAAGGGAAACGGTGCAGTCAGACGACTTATTACACAACATTTCACCACATAAATAATTAACCCTAAAAGGGGCCACGTATAGTGGGGGATACAAACATTTGAGAAGCTGTGGGGAGAAGCAGTGAAAGCGTAGATCTCATTTCTTGGTTTCATCTTGAAAGGGTGTTTGTTGTGAATATTTAGATGAGGTGAATTTTGTTTCTTAATTCTTTGTTTAGCTCAAGGGCAGCATTTAAAACTGCATGGCCACCTGTAGTGGGAAATCTACTCACCCTCTGATAAAGTTGATCTAGTTCACATATTTACACACGTTGGAGGGGACTTGCCTGTTTAAAAAGTTGTTGTTCAGCATTAGCTTATTAGGTTTACATTGAAATTTTATAAATTAAATGCTTATATTTTTTGTAATCTGTCTCTAAATGTTTGTATCTCAGGGGATACGTCACCCTTTTAGGGGTATAAATCAAGATATAAAACATACATATAGACTGTGTGACTTTGTGGCTTGTGTTTTAGAAAATCAAATCTTTTTGTAATCTTGACAAAACACATATCGTTGGAAAGGTCTGATAGTCAAGATTCCATATTTGGTGACTGTTTTGTAATAGATGTGATATTGTGACAGAAAATTATTGATTTGTGACAGAAAACTGCATTAGAAAAATTGGATGTAACCTAGTGGTTATTTTTGGTATAGTGCCCAAAGAAAATCTCACAGGAACCACAATTTTTGTGATATCAACTTCAAATTTGGAACATAAATTAGTTAGACATATGGCTTTGATTTTATAGCAATTTTAGAATGCAACATATTTTATAAAAGATTTATTTTATATAAAATATAAACAATTAGTATACATTATCTTTACTGTAAACTTAAAATTTTATAACTTTTTTATACTTTCTTTTGTTGAAATGCTTTCATTTCAGCAATAATCTGCTATGTGTTTTCTTAAAAAAGAGACCAATGTTAGGTCTGTACTCCAAAACATTCAGGAATTACAACCATGCTGTAACAAGCATTGATAAACAAGTGTTCTGTTTCCAGTGAATTTATACCCCAAAGGGGCGACGTAGCCTATCGGATACAAACATTAAAATCAAATATAAGAGTCAAGTTTTTTAAAAAATCATGAAATTGTATTATTTGAGTCCCAATAAGATGGAAAATAGCATTAAATTTATTATTTTCATTATTTTTAGGGTTAAGGCAATAAATGTTTTAAAATCTTACCAGTTTGATAGTTATCTTATAATCCATTACAGCGTACAAAACAATTGTTGCAAAATTGCAGCAGCTGTGTTTGTATGAAACGAGAGAGCGAGTCCGCGATACGAGGATGACATAATTAATTGTACACCATTTTGAATCAAGTTTTAATATTTTATTAGCTAAACAAACGCAAAGCTTCTACTAAGAAAAAAACTTTCCTAGCAAGATTATAGTGCCGACTTCAGTTACCCGGATGAGCCTGTGTTATCAGCTTTTACTGGTTGTTATCGAGGGATGTTTTGTTTTGGAACTGTGAAAAGTTAGATAAAGATCACAAGCCTCAGTAAAGCCGACCCTGACTTCTTCCTTGTCTGAATTACATTACAAACACGTAGCTAATGGCTGTGGAATTGATGTCTCGTCTGGCTTTACATTGTGAAACGGTCACCAAAGAATCTGTGGTGAAATGTGTACACAAACTTAATCTCAGACTAAAATAATAATGGATTGTTTCAAACTTTGAGATCCTTCAGAATTTATTATTTTCATTATTTTTAGGGTTAAGGCAATAAATGTTTTAAAATCTTACCAGTTTGATAGTTATCTTATAATCCATTACAGCGTACAAAACAATTGTTGCAAAATTGCAGCAGCTGTGTTTGTATGAAACGAGAGAGCGAGTCCGCGATACGAGGATGACATAATTAATTGTACACCATTTTGAATCAAGTTTTAATATTTTATTAGCTAAACAAACGCAAAGCTTCTACTAAGAAAAAAACTTTCCTAGCAAGATTATAGTGCCGACTTCAGTTACCTGGATGAGCCTGTGTTATCAGCTTTTACTGGTTGTTATCGAGGGATGTTTTGTTTTGGAACTGTGAAAAGTTAGATAAAGATCACAAGCCTCAGTAAAGCCGACCCTGACTTCTTCCTTGTCTGAATTACATTACAAACACGTAGCTAATGGCTGTGGAATTGATGTCTCGTCTGGCTTTACATTGTGAAACGGTCACCAAAGAATCTGTGGTGAAATGTGTACACAAACTTAATCTCAGACTAAAATAATAATGGATTGTTTCAAACTTTGAGATCCTTCAGATGTATATGCAGAGCTGTAGGTTCTACACAAACCCAGATATAGCACAGTGTATCACTGTGGGTGGGTCAAGTTTCTGATCACCTAATAGGTGTCATTTATATGCATATCCACTTACCTGATGGCGGAAAGCTGAATTGTATTTTAAAATGTTAAATACAGTACAATGCAACTTTATTTCTTAGTAAGTTAAACAAAATGTATTGTTTTTAACACACTTTCCATTAGATCAAAGTTTTTACAGATCTTGATATGTGCAAAGATGATGATGAATTTATATCTATCCATGAGTTTCTTTGTTTGCATATGTGATATTTTAGTGATATTACTCTTACTTTATCTCAGGTGTCTGTGGAAGCCCAAATCTGATACCCAACACAGTACCTGTGTCAGATTTAAAATATCACATCGGTGACAGTATTCGCATTCAGTGTGCAGAGGGCTACGTAAGGAAAGCAGGAACATCCAACTTGATCCGATGCACTGAAATAGATGGCAGCATATCATGGGACTCTGTCCGCCTAAAGTGCATTCGTAAGAGTCTTGTTTGTTGCAGAGATACTGGACATTACATGACTGGCGCACAGGAATGCATGACATGTCCGCCCTCTTGTTTTTACTTTAGCGAAATCGTAAACTTTCAAGTTGGTCCAAGCCACTAGCGTAGCCAGGAATTACAATGTGGGTGGACCCAGAGAAAATTGGGTGGGCCTAGCCTAAAATGCATCTGTAATCAAAATAGGCCAACACAACTAACAGTTACACCTGCTTGAATACACATCACTGTTTAATCAGAGCATAAGCCTGTATGTCATTATAAGCAGTGTTAAGAACATAACAATAAGAACAGCATGAGCACGGCGGCCACACCACACATGCGCATCTGACAGACGAACAGCATCAAATCAGCAAGACAGTAGCTAGTAGTACAGTAGTGGACAATATGTAACCATGCTTGGTCATAGTCTGGCTCAGTGGCCACATAAATGAAATAAACAACTGTGACTAGGCAACTACATAGTAGGAAAATGTAGATTAATGTACCTGTACACTGGCGTGTAGGGGAGGTAGACGCTGGAGAATGGAGCGCTGCTGGCGATGGAGAAATATGTGAATTAACGTTAGCACTAGCAGAGCTGTTCAGCTGCTTGAGCGTAGAATATGTGGGGGACGTTTCATTCATACTCGAAGGCGGAGGGTGCTCTCTCGCACAAAGTACAAAACGGACTCATAGAAGTAACGTGATGTGCCAGGAAAACCGTAATATGGACAAAGACATGTATAACGACATCCAGCAATCTCTGCTGTAGCCAAGCGGCAAGGGGCTGTTTGCAAACTTATCTTCATCATTATATGGCAAACAAGAATTAAGAAACAACACAATTTATTTTTTATAGGTCAAGTATTGTGATTATTGCAACAGAATTCACAATGATTAGGCTACTTTTTGAAGCAACTGACTGGGTGGGCCTGACTGACAAGTGGGTGGGTCCAGGCCCACCCGTAGTTACGCGACTGGTCCAAGCACAAAGTCACACAGAAACACAAGCCTTTTTGCTAGAAGAATGTGTTGTAAAATTGGCGTAAAATATCAAACATGTTCAAAAACAGACTGCCCACAATCTGCAGACTGGTTTCAGCTACCAGATTCGACACACTTTGTAAACACCACATTATTCTGAAATGTAGATGTTGGTTTAATTTTACATCCTAACAGATATCAGGTGATAAATATAGTGATTTTATTGTTTCTACTTTACAGCTGATCCCAAAAAGCCACATGTGCCCTCAGGTAAGTCCTAATGCGTCCCTGTCTTTTCTGTATATGTTGTTGAAGTGAAAAGTGATTTGTGTATTTTATGCACCTCGATACCAAATGCATTGACATTGATCACACCAACAGACAGGTCTGACCCAAAGGAATGCCATTTGCCAATGGTTGGGCCAGTGTTACTGTGTCGGAATGCTTAACCAAGCAATGTTTTGATAGCGCCACAGTGTGTTTACATTTTTTTAGGAGAATTAACCTACGAATAGTTTACTTAAAGTTGTCTCTGGATATGAAAAGTATTTTAACAACAACAAAAAAATGAAACACATCCCCCTTAAATCCTATCACCAAGACGACAGCTGATGGCTAAAGTGTCCTGTATTATGTATTTGCCTCAGCAGAGACCCAAAGGCCTCATCAACATTTCACATCATCCACCACAGAAAGAATTGCAAGAAGGAATACCACAGTTCATGGCACAAGCACGGCAACCACAGGTATATATGTCATATTATGCTTGTATGTGTTGATATTGTTTGGGTAGGCCTATATTTACGTTAATTGCATGACACTCCAGCAACAGGGCATATAGATTTGACAACAACAAATGAAGTTGTCACAACCAAAACAAGAAGAACTACCAGCCTGCCAACTTTGATGTGCACAACAAAAGAGGCGGAGTCTGTTACAAGAACCAATGAGGTTACTCCTTCAACATCCAACAGCTTCACAAGCAGAGAATATATGACAACAACAGCATCGCCAAAGTCAGGCTCTTTCACTACAACAACAGGTGAAGCCATTTACTATGATGGGTTAAGGTGCATAAGGCTAACTTTAAAGGAATAGTTAACACAAACATTAACATTCTGTCATTATTTACTCACCCTCGTATCATTCCAAACCAATATGACTTTCTTTCTTCAACAGAAACCAAAAGGAGACATTTAGCAGAATGTTCATTCTGCTCTTTTCCATACAGTATATAATGACCAAGAGCTGTCAAGCTCTTAATTTACTCATGTAGATATTTAAACTTCCTACAGCAAGACAACAAGTTTGAAAAAGTCATAGAGGTTTGGAAAAACATAAATGATGACAGAATTTCCACATTAATCTTCATTAAGCTAAAGCTATGTTTAGATATATGTGTTCTAACACTGAGGGAGGAATTAGCTAAACTGTCAAATCCCTTTTTACACATGATACGTCAGCGTAATACCTAAATCTTATTTACTAACCATCACAATCCAGTTTAAGGAGTACAAAGCTGAAATTGCATTGCATTGTCAATATTTAAACTAAGTCATTGAAATTCTTTTTTGAACAAACATGACTCCTTTAGGCTCAGTACAGATTGTACTTCATTCAGAAAAACTGCCTGGCACAATTTGTACTGCACTATTACCACTAAACATTAGTCGACTTAGTCTTAGGCTAAAATTTTATTAGTCGGTTAGTCGCAGAAAAAAATGTCCGTGTCCATGATGGATAGATTGTTAAAGGGTTAGTTCTAGAGCCCGACCGATATGGGTTTTTTGGGGCCGATGCCAATATTAGGGAGTAAAAAAAGGCCGATACCGATATATCGGCAGATATTGTTTATGTATATTATAATACAGTACCAGTCAAAAGTTTGGACACTTTCCCATTCGTGTGTCCAAACTAGGGATGTCAACGATTAATCGATGATCGATTGATTGTCGATAAGAGATGCAATCGATTAAAGCTATCGATGGTCGATTAAGTCTTTTAATTTTGGGCTGCTTGCAGCTCATGCGCAAAACACGTGTGAGCGGCTGTGAGTGACGGTATATAAATGCATCATCATTCATTCATAATGTACAAATTAAGCTTTTAATGTGATTTAAACTTTAAAAGTGCATTAAAATAGAAACAACATAAAGTTCTTTAACATGGAAAGCAATAGAAATGTAGTTACTAAGTCATTTCCCCAGATAATTCTTTCATATCGGGCTCTGCGCTTTGCAGGGCTGCGGGACACAGGACAGATAGGCTATTCATTCCTACAATTTGTTAATTCGTTCCTACGACTTATTAATTTGTGGCCACTGTCCATGTTTCATTAATTTTGTTCCTTAAATAACCCATGATTTTACTAAAATGAGGGAACAAATTAATGAATCGAACGAATTCTTAATTCATGTCCATGAAATCTTTAATTTCCCTTAGATGCGAAAACCGTGATAAAAAGTGAATGACAATAAAATAAACCTGCGAAATTAGAGGGTTAGACGGTGAGGATTTAGGAAAAGAAACAATGCCTAAATATTATTGAATTTGTAGAAATTCGTGACCAACCGGCAAACCAGAACAAAGCCGCGTGAATGTAAGCTATATGGGCTCGAACGGCATCCAAAAGCATGGTCGCGATGTAACAAATGTATAGCCTATGTAAGCAATAGGTCTAAATAAAAATAACAATTTGTTTTCATAAAAAAGAAAAAGCGAAATATATCTGGCTTAAATAATTAAACTAACAGATTTAAAACAGAAGTGCGGCGCGGCGCTCCATAAAAAAGTTTTTTATGTTTCGGCTGTTCGATCGCACCGGCGCACACACCCCACATATTCTAGCAATTCATATTTACATCGCAGTCTGTTCATTATCAAAATAAAATACAGTCAACCAAACATATAAAAGGTTACACTAGTCAGTTTAAATAGACCGTAGTATACCGGTCCACTCTGCAGTTAAAGACGTTTAAGCTCATGTGAAGAGGATGATCTTTTCCGTCTATATGCGAATGCGTGTAAAGTACAAGCTTACATTATAAATAATAGTTTAACATTCAAATACATTGCGAATATGGAAACATTTGGATTTGTGCCGAATGAGACGTGAGTAATAACCTCCAAATACATCTAGTCAACCCCGCGCTCGCTCCGTCTCGGATGCACTCACGCACTCACTGTCACGATCTAATGCACTGTAAATGCCAAGATTTTAAAAAACAAATAGGCCTACCGGAACGCAAAAAATTCAAAATCTGACATTTTCCGGAACAGGATCCAGCAGGATCAAATTACAGGTGCATCTCAATAAATTAGAATGTCGTGGAAAAGTTCATTTATTTCAGTAATTCACCTCAAATTGTGAAACTCGTGTATTAAATAAATTCAGTGCACACAGACTGAAGTAGTTTAAGTCTTTGGTTCTTTTCATCGTGATGATTTTGGCTCACATTTCACAAAAACCCACCAATTCACTATCTCAACAAATTAGAATACTTCATAAGACCAATAAAAAAAACATTTTTAGTGAATTGTTGGCCTTCTGGAAAGTATGTTCATTTACTGTACATGTACTCAATACTTGGTAAGTGTGTTTTGCTGCAGCAGCGCCGATGGAAGCGGTTCACTGACTGCGCAGCGCAGCGCAGCCACACGCGCCACAGTTACGTTTGGGATCATTTTATTTTAAATGCCATAATGTCAGTTGAAAACATTGCAATTGTGTTTTAAAATACAACAACGACCACCACGAAACCATTTAAAGAGGCGCGTTCAGCGGTCTCCCTGACGGGATAGGAAACAGTCAACAAAGTAAAATAATCTCAAACGAGCTCTCTTCATTTTATCAAATGATCATAATCACATATATTCATTTTACAATCCTGCTACTAGCATTTTATTCAGACTAAATCCCCTTTAAATCGGGTGAGACATTTTTTTTGAGTAACCTTTGCCCATCCTGTCATGCCGGGCTGCATAGACGCATTTTGCTGCATTAAGGTTAACGATTAATCGATTAATTGGTCGTTAATTTAAACGACGATCGATCATGGAAATGATCGAAAACTGACATCCCTAGTCCAAACATTTGACTTGTACTATATATAGAATACAGTATATACATAAACAGAATATATATATATACATAAACCAATTTTTACAATGTGCTATTCTATGACATTAGCGATGCAATTTAATTATTATTTCAAGACATGTAAAGCATTTTTGCTCGTTTATGTGGGCCGTTCCAAGCATGGTTGCAATGTGTTCATTGTCAAACTCCAAAATCAGATTATTTTTAATTCTTAAAAAACGCCATTATTTTATTT